GTCACTTGTAACCCATCTCTCTCTCGCTGCCTTGACTCTCAGTGCTGTCGGAGGAAGGCAGCGGGCCGAGCTGAAGGCAGCAGAGCGCATGCCCAGCAAAACGGTCTGCTCTCCAGCGTGTAGTCGGTGGCGATTCCACTTCAAAGCTGAGATGTTGGTTCTCTTTTGTGAAGGGCGCTATAATTCTGTCTGTGATCAGGTTGCTCCCAAAATGTCTCTTTGGTTGTTTTCACTGAAGAAGAAAAGAAGTATAGTTTTTTTTTTCCTTTCTGCTCTTTTTTCTTGTTTTGTGACTTTTTTACGCTCAAGGAGCATTACGTCCCTGGAAGCAGTCCGAGGCGCACAGTGGCTGCGACATGGCCCCCCGACCGGAGTCGGGGACAGCGGGGGTGGGGCGGGAAGGGCGCCCAGGCTAATGCAGAGGCGGCGCGGCCCAGGCCCGCGGTGTCGGCCTCGTACCCGATTTCGGTGAGCGGTACTTTCTGCGGGAGGAAATGAAATGATGGAGTGTTTAAAGTCTCAAACAGGCCCGGGTAAACGGCAGGACTTTTTCCTGAGCGGTGTGAGGCGCTGGGCTGTCCCTGCGGCAAGGTGAGTCGGGAGGTCTGCTAGGAGTGTGGCTCCCCCCACCGCTCGGAGGGGAGTGTGGGATTTGTTTGCCAGAGGCCCTGGTAGCCTTCAACCTGTCAAAGCCGTTGCAAGCTGGGAGCAGTTTGCCAAAGCAAACTATCCAAGTGAAGTAACACATGAGCTGCACACACACCGACACACACAGGCCTCCCGCTCCCCAAACGCTGGCTTCGAACTGGGTCAGGAGGCGCAGGGCCGTGGGCTAGACTGTCAGTGTTTTGAAGAGGTGTGGGCACAGTTGCAGGCCACCAGTGAGACAGGTGTGTGTGCACAGGGTGGGTACCCCATACGGAGCCTGCAGGGCAGGGGCGGAAACCTTCAGCCCTTGGCCGGGCTTTGTCTGGGCCCTGGGGTTACATACTGCTCTGGCTTCTGTTAGTGCGGCCCAAAGAGTAACTTCCCCTCCGGGGGACCTCAGTCTATTCCATTCAGAGAAGAGCCCATTTAATAACTGATATTTTATTTCAGCATGAATTTTATTGGGTGCCCCTATGCATTTTAGCCCCACAAGGGCCCAGCTTGATGAAGAAAAGCATTTGAACATCTCACTATAACTTGTGTTGCATTTTTGCATCAAGAAGCACCTGCGGACATTTTGCTGCCGGCTCTTGTGTAAATCCTACGGGGAGAGATTTTTGGGGAAGTCACACAGAGACTCAAAAGCACTCTGATTTTTAGAAATACTTCGTAGAAGAGCTTTTAAAAGCTCCCAAAATTACTTTGGACTTTTTAAAATATGTTAATCACACTGTTTCCAAGGATCTTGAAATTTTGTAGGTCACAAGGTGACAAGGCACCATGCGTTAGTTAGTTCAGTGAGTTAAGCTCTTCCTGTGTCCTGCGTAGCAGACGCTGCTGGGAGCTGGGAGGTAAAGCAGTGACAGAAACTCCGACCTCGTGGGGCTTCTGCTCTCGCGGGCAGAGGGAGAAATGGGAGTCAACAGTACACAGTATCTGAGGTGGTGAGTGCTCTAGAGAAAGGTGAGCGGGCTGGGCTGGGAGACGGAGCCCCATTTTATGGAGGGTCAGGGAGGCCTATGGAGAAGGGAAGGCGTTGGGCAGACACCTGAAGGAGGCGAGGGGACGAGCTGTAGACACATCTGGGAGTGGAGCTGACCAGACAGCCTGGCACGCGGTTCCTCCGAGGCAGTGGACGACCTAGAATGTCCCCTCCTCCCGTCTTTCACTCCGTCTCCCAGCCCAAGCCCCCCTGTCTGTCAGGGAAGTGCAGGCTGGGATGAGCGGTTATGCAGAACTGCTCCTGACTGCATTGCAAGCGTGTGGCTTAGGTGTGTGCCAAGAGCTCTGAGCCGCTGAGGTGTGACACGTTTCTGGAGCTGCTGTTTGTTTTCTTAACAAAACCACACCGATCTGGTTTTCTTTTTAAATGAGTAAACAGTGCCAGAATGTGTTACATATGATTGCAGTCTGCAGGCATGGTTTCATAATTTGCTTCTTTGCACATCAACTCATCTGAGGGAGGCAGGGTGGGTTCTCTTCTTCCCATTTCACAGATGAAGAAACTGAGCAGCAGAGGTGATTTGCCCAAGAAGGTCGTGTAACCAGGGCGCATTAACCCCTGAACTGTGATGCACACATTCCTTGGTTTGGAAGACAGACTGCACCCAGTAAGGACACAGCTAGAAAGGAACTGTTCTTTCCTGCTGCCGTGTCCACACCCCTCCTCCAGATGCCCCTGCCCCGGCCCTGGAAGAGGTCTTAGGCAGTTTTCTGGTCCATTGCAGGTTTAATGGGCTGTCTCATGCGCAAGTATCAGAAGGCCCAGAAAGATGTGTGTGTGTGGGAGGGGATGGCTTTAATGGTTGAATGCCTGTGCTTCTAGACGTTTTAGTTACAGTTTTCCTCCGGTGGTTTTTGGGTGAAGCGAAGACGTCAGTAACTTCGCCACCCAGACCTCCCCACGGAGCCCCCTGTGTGCTGAGCAGCGCAGATCCGCGCGTCTGTGCATTGGACAGGACAGAGTTTCCATCATCGTAGAAAGTTCTCTCAGACGGAACTGGCCCAGAGCCTCAGCAAGTTATAAATCAACTCTTTGATTCTTTCACCACTAATTTCACGTGATATTTTTCTGAATCGGTTCCGTCCTTGGAAGGGTTCTGTGTATAGGTACGCTGTATTAAGTCCGACAGAAAACCTTCAGTCTCTCATCCGGATGCAAGCTGCTTTCCTCCCCGGTCCTGGGCCTGGTCTGGCCTCAGACGCCTGCGGTGGGGAAGAGAGGGCTCCGGGCCCCCTCCCCGCCCCGCTCCCTCTGGCCCTCGTCGGTTCCTCCAGGACGGGGCCGTGGGGGAGAGAGGTGGCTGGGTGAAGAGGGTCTCAGTAGGGCTGGTGCCCGCTGTGACCTGCTGTTGCTGTCCTGGGTCGGCAGGTGTCTGAGTTGTGGATTCTCCCGTCAGGGCACTGTGGTTGGTCGTGTGGAGAACCTCCCCCGGCAGGGGTCTCCTGCTGTGCACCCCCCGGTGCAGCTGTGCGGGAACTGGCCGCCTCCGACCACCTGCCCCCAGCTCCGGGTCCTCCGGGTACACACCACACATCACCTGTCTTTTTGGGATGACCTGACCCTGGTGAGAGATCTTCTCAGATGAGGTCCTTGCAAGACAACCAAAGCCCTGCTTTCCACGTGCCCACACACAGTCATGGGAGAACCCAGCATCGCCTGCCCTGCGAGGTCCAGACGGGCAGCTGCGCCCACGCCAGCCCTCTCTCCCGCCACTCGGCCCTCCCAGACGCTCCAGCCAGGCTTTAGCCTTTAATGCTTTTCAGGGGAGAATCAGGCACCAGTCCTCATGCCCTGAACACAGGCGCTCCAGACCAAGCCCTCGGATGTTTGCCCTCATCGTCTGCCTGGAAAGGAGCTCCAGCGTTTCCTCCCCTGTGGCCGGGGAGGGGCTGTGCTCAGCTCGCCAGCATCCCTCACACTCTTCTCCATCCCGCCGCCCCCACCCACTCCCTGTTCAGGCTGGAGGGGGGTGAGGGGCTGCAGCACAGGGGGGTGGGGGCAGAGGGGGGCACCTCGGGTTCTGATCCAAGTAGACGGTGCAGCCTTTCTCTTTGGAATGTGTGCATATGCAATCCCCTTGGTTCTTAGCTTTAGAGCGCAGTGCAGCTCTGAGACAGCAAAGACGCATGTAGCGCCTGGCTCACACACACCCCTTCCCGTTGCATTTTGTCCATCACAGGGTCTCAGACCAGCCCGTCCACACCCGTTCTGCGAGGTCTGCTGGGCTGGGCTCACCTTCACGCAGTGGGGATTAGCGTGGGATTTAGGACTCTCAGAGATGGCCCCAGATGCAGGCAGGTTTTCCTCATGCCCCCCTCCACACGGTGAGCCTTCTCGACAAGGGCACCTTTCACGTCTCTCCGTGACTTTGGAGACCTCAGAAAGGTTGAGAACCACTGGGTTGCTTAACTGCCCTCGGGGTGAAGCCCTGAAAAAGGACTCAAAAGACAAGCACGTGGGACAAGCGGCCTTTGTGCAGGGACGCTGGGACAGCGCCGCTGGCGGTGCAACATCGGGGGGCTTTGGGCGCCTGATTCACTGGCAGTACCCATCTCTCCACTGACTGGCTGTGCTGGGGGTGCTCCCCTCTGCCGTCCTCAGTGGTCCTTCCAGGAGATGGGGACGTGGGGCTCAGAGGCGTTAGCCTACCTGGGATCGCCCCAGCGGGAACGGCGGAGCTGGACCTCAGCCTACGTGTGTTTGAGTCCAAAGCTTCAGGCCCTCCCAGCACACCCTGCTGTCTTGGGGCCAGCTGGCTCCTGTTTCTACACCTTCTCTTTATTTGATGACAAGCCCTAATCAGGGCTGGTGACAGTGGGGCTTAACACAGCTAATCCACCCACGGAGAACATAAGTGACACTAAAGGATGGCAGAAGAGTGGTTCCGAGGGAGCTCGGGGGTGTGGGAGGCCCTCCCCCGGCGGCTCGGAGCCCCACTTCTGGCCTGGCCTTGCCACCTGCGCGAGGGCAGGCCGGCACTGCCCCTTACCTCTGTGCCCGGCATGGCGTGTGAGCGCGTGTGGTCCTCCCAGACCGCAGCCAGCGTCTGTCATCGTCCCCATCGTAGGAAACTGAGGCTCGAGGAGGTTACGTGCCCCGACCTGGAAACCTCGCTGGTGAGCGGCAGAGCGGGGTCTGACCCAGGCCGTCCCCACGCCGCGGCCCCACCTGCAGCACACAGCTGCCTCCGCTCCCGTGGGGCCGGCCCTTCGCGTCCCCTTTGGGTTGCGCCCCTCTGGGTCGCCTCCCAGGGCCCGGGGTGGACGCTGCGCTCCCTTCCGCCGTGAGACGCAGAAGCGCCTTCCTCCTGGAGCTTACTCACCGCCCCGCCTGTTGCTGTTTTTCCTTCCCAGTGTCCTGGCTTCCCTCCTGCTGCTTGGGTTCCAGCTCGTCTGCCCACAGCCCTCCACTGAACACAGAAAGGTAAGCCAAGGCCCGACAGAGGCTCTCTGGCTCTGGTCAAGGGGTTGGGGCCCTCCAGTCACCACGCTGGGCTCTTTTCTGTTCGGAGGGGTGTCACTGCTGATCCTCAGAGGAAGCCCCATTTGTAGGATGGTCACCGGTCCTCCTATCCCTCCTAAGTCCTTGGAGCTTAAATAGGAAGCTGGGGTGGGGCGGGTGCAGAATGCACGCTTCGCGTGCATGAGGTCCTGAGCTCAGTGCCTCCATTAAAAAACAAACAAACAAACAAATCAAACAAACAAACTAATCCCCCCCACCAAAAAACAATGAAGCAGGTGCCCAGAGTCAGTCCCGGATCTCAAGTAGCACTGGCTTCCCTGTGGTGCCCACTGGAATGGGCAGGTTAGGGGAGGTCGGGGGCAGGCCCTACCCACCTGGAGTGAAGGGGCACCAGCATGGAGCTTCCCCCCCGGGGCACCGGCAGGGCGATGGGTGTGGGTGACCTGAGAGAGAGCTGCAGTGCCAGCTGACGCTGCTGTTGTGTCAGAGGGAAGCATGGAGGGACCACGGTCTTCGGGAGAAGGACGCAGCCCCTGCAGCAGCGGCCAGGCGGGGAGGGGGCAGGGGAATCAGGACCTGGCCCTCGCTGTCTCTTCCCCTCTGTCCCTGCTGGTGACTTGCTTAGCAGAACCCAACCAAAGGCCAGAACACCAAACATCCCTTGATGGAGCCCTCTTGGGTAGCAGGGCTGGGTGAGAAGGGTGGACAGGGCTTCTGGAAGGACAAACGGACATTAGCAAGCATGCCGCCCGTCAGGCTCTACGTGTCTCATCATAAATGAACTATTCACTGACGCCCAGACAAGCCCAGTGCTGTCCCGCCACAGACAGGCCCTCAAGTGGCTCTCTCCTCCCCAGGAGCGCCCAGGTCTGCAGACAGTGACGTGCAGACACTTCTGAGAGGAGCAGCAGGTCAGCCATTTGTACGTGGGGGGGACTGACCTGGCAGGAGCCCCTCCCGGAGAGGGCGCCCCTCCCCGAGAGGGCGCTCGCAGGGGACGTCCAGGAGGGAAGGGAGCCGGGAGCAGAGGGCGTGCACAGGCCGCCTGGACAGGCCCCTTCTCGGGAGAACTTCTTGGTGTTTCTGTCTGATTAGTCTCATTCCCTTGAGGTCTGTGGGTTATGCTCTGGCTTTACTTTCTGGGCCAGAGATGAACCTGTATTGTGCCATTCCCCCTCCCCGCCGAGACCCTACTTCTGGAAAACCAAAGTATTGGCAGGGCCGCCTGGAGCTTTGGGGCCCCAGGCCCTGCCCAGCAAGGCTGAAGGCAGGGCTGCAGCCCCAGTGGGCCGGGAGGGTAGAGCACTGAGCCAAAGAGGATTGCTCTTCAGCCTTAGAATTCCTAATGGAACTTCCCCAGTTGGGTTTTGGACTTGCTTGGGGCCTGCCGGGACTTCCCTCCTTCCTCTCTCTCCCGTCTGGGATGGGGAGCGTCCGTCCTGCGCCTGCCCTTCTGCTGTGCTCTGGGAGCGCATGACACGCCTGATCTCGCAGATTCACGGCGGGAGAGCGGTTTGCTTCAGGGTGACTCTCACCTCGTGTCTTACCCGTGTCTGATTAGGTGATGTTTAGGTGAGACTTCGGACCTGGACTTCAGTACTGACGCTGGCACAGTCAGGGCGTTCAGAGCTGTTGGGGTGGGGTGAATGTACTTTGCACCCAAGAAGGCTGTGGATTTGGGGGACCAAGGGGTGAAATGCTGTGGACTGTGTCCCCCCAGATTCATATGCTGAAACAGGAGCCCGAGCGTGGTGGGGGTGGGGCCTTTGGGCAGGGGTTTGGCCATGAGGGATTAGTGTCCTTATAAAGACGGCCCCGCAGGGATCTCTTGCCTCTTTTGCTATTTGAGGACACACGGAGAAGAAAGCTGTCAATGACCCAGGGCACGGGTTCTCCCCAGACACCAAAATTCACGGGCCCCTTAATCGTAGACATGCCAGCCTCCAGAACTGTGAAAACTAAATTTTCTACAAACCGCCCAGTCTATGGTATTTTTGTTACAGCAGCTAGACTGGACGAAGACAACTGTCTGTTTTCACTATGAAGTTGTATTATTTATTAGTGTTCAGAATTATCCCGGTGGTTTATCCTAAGAGTTGAATCAATCTACCAGGGCTGTTTTTGTGTTGTCTTTGTTCACACAGACCATCAGACGTGAAATATTTTATAAATGGTCAACTGGCTTTGCTGTTTCTCTTTTCAAGTTCACCTGAATGCTATATATGTCGCCTGAACAAAAGGTTTACACAAAAAAGTATTGCTTCCGTATTTCTTAAAGAAAGTACTTGTTCTGAGAAATTTTTAAAAATCGGTCTATGAATTACTTTAGGGTGTTGACTTTGAAAGCTGAGCAACAAGCTTCATGTCTTGGAGTGTGGCACCTCCTTGTCAAGCTACTCAGAACTTAGCAGCAGAGAGATAGGCTAAAAAGATTTTTCAAAATCATTTACAGATCCCTTTGCTTGGAAAACATTAATTTCAGGACAGTTCTCAAATGTGGTTCTGTGCATTGTAGCTGCCAGGGTCATTGTTATTGTCATTCATTCCAGAGAAGAAAGGATTCATTGCTTTCTTGGTGGTGAACTTTGTGATGTCTTATTGGAGCTCTGGGGAGAGCTGGCTGTCAGCCTGCCTGGCTGCATCCTCAAAACCCTGGAGCAGAAGCAGTGCTGGCAGTAGTAGCACCCATTTATTTCTGCAACGTAAGAAATAAGGAGATACTGATTAAAACAGAAGTAGGAAATTCTTTTCTAGAAATGGCCAGTTAGAATATTTCAGGCTTTCTGGGCTACAAAGTCGCTGTCACAACTGGTCAACTCTGCTTTTGTAGCACGGAGCAGCCATAGACAACATGTAAATAAACGTTCACAGCCGTGTTCCAATAAAACTTTATTTACAAAAACAGTTGGCGAGCTGGATTTGGCCCGTGGCCCACAGTTTGCCAGCCACTGCTCTGGAGTCAGGATGGAGAGGAGTTAACTGAAATTACTGCATATGTGTTTTGGAATTTGAAATTGGAAACTGTTCCCTCCTGGGACCTTAAAGAATAGAAAGGATTTGAGAAAAAAAGTATTTTTTTTTCATTAAAACATAAAAATTATGATTGCTATCAAATTGTTTTCATTGCTTAGATAAATCATAATTGAATTCCTGCTGACTGATTGTTTTGTGGCAAAATCCGCTCCCAGCCTATAGCAGAGAGCAGCAGAATTAGGGAACCAGTTGTGGTCAGTTCGGAAGGGACCGCACTGCTAACTTGTGCAGGCTGTGGTTTCGTATGCTTATGAAAGCTACCCTCTAAAAGACATCTCTTTTCCTTTCTCATTACTATAGTGTGTCCAACTTTAGCATATGGAAGCATTTCTACAGTGTAAGTTATTCTGAGGAAAAGACATAATTTGTAAATGCTGTCAAGTAAACTATGCATTTCTAAATGCTGCTCAGGTGACTGGATTTACCTCCGTAAAAACTGTCCTGTAATAGCGCGGGAAAAGAGGACTCTGGTGCGGAGGGTGAGCTCACTTGGCATATTTCTACCCAGAAGCCTTCCTCTTGCTCCTGCAACGCGGATGGTATCACAAAGGACTGATTGCTCAACCACTGTTCTTGGTAATTATTTAATGACACTTGGCAAATGATTACGTTTTAAAAACTCTCCGTGGCTTCATTTGCAGATGAGGTAAGATCAAGAGCGGAAAAAAGCTTGACCAACACTTTAATAAAAACCGTACGTCGTTGGTGAGGGAAAATGTGTAGACTGTAGAAAGCTTCTAGGTGAACGAAACTGCTCTGTTTGCCGGAGACATTCACCGTGCACGGTCAACATAATCTATTTAGGAAAGAATCGTCAAACATACTTCATTCCTACAAATGGAAAAACATACATACACTTTAATCACAACGACTTACCTTGGTTTTTTTTTAAGTTTACTTTTTAACTAAAAGTATGCACGTTTATTATAGCGAATTTAGAAAACAATGAAAAAGTAGAAGGAAATAAAAACTCACTCTTGGGAACACTGGTCAAAGAGAAGTGCTCTTCAGTCTGTCGTTTATAGAAACTTCAGAACAGAAGGAGCAGAGACACTACAGCATGGAGTGAGGGTGAAGTGAAATACTTGTTGTGGTAACGGATCAGCAAACCGCAGTGTGAGCAGCAGGGCACCGTGGCGTGGCTTCAGAGCCTCCCGTGTGCCGCTGCTGACTTCCAGCTGCCCCTGGACAGCGTCCTACAGGTGGATGTTGAACCGAAAGCCAGCCTATAAAGGACAAAAAGAAGTTTTAGGTAACATAAAATGTCTCATATTGTTGCTGCCATATGCAAAAAGAAGGAGAAGACAGCGTTCCTAGAAGAAAATATATGAAAATATCCTGACGGTGTGAGGTTGGCAAGGATTGCTCTAACAGCACACCCGAAGACTAGCCAGAAAAGAATGGAGCTCATTGAAATGGAGGACTTTTGTTTATCAAAATACACCATAAAGAGTGAAAAGATGAGCCAAAGACAGAGTGAAGGTATTCGCAATGATATATTTGACAGAAGATTTATACTCAGATTGTACAAAGAGACTCTACTAATCATTAAGAAAATTAAAGAATTCAGTTTTAAAATGGGCAAAAGACGTGAACAGACACTTCATGCAAGGGGAAATTCTAATGGCCAGTACGCATATGAAAAGATGCTCAATTAAAATCATGAATTAAATAAATCATTAGTCCCTAGAGAAATACAAGTCAAAATGCGACAGCACCGGGATGGCTTAAAATGAAGCCTCCTGACAGCACCAAGTGCCTAGAGGACGTGGAGCAGCGGGGACCTGCACACGTTGCTGGGGGGAGTTTAAACAGTAAACCCCTTTGGGAAACTGTCGGCAGCATGTGCTAAGCCAAGCCGAGGCTTATTCAGCAGCCTGGCTATTCTGCTCCTGGGTGTTTACCCGAGAAAAGTGAGTGGCTGTATC